TAACAATTCCAATATTGCCTCGTCATATCCAGATCTTTCATGGAGTCAAGTCGGAAAATTTGTGATGTATGTATGCCTTTTGAAATTGTTTCGCGAATATTATTTTGTAGATCCCTGATGGTAGGCTTTGTTTCCAGTCTGATTTAAGCAGTTTCTTTTATAACCAAGTGGTCACTCTTGTATTTTCTGGATAAGGGACCAATTTCTACGTTATTTAAATCTTTCTTGTATTTCAATACTATAATAACGTTTACCCATTCTTCTGCTTGCAGTGCTAGCGTTCCTTCTATTAAATATCTATTGAAGTGTTTGCAGACTCCTTTTCTTGGTTCTTTCATCACATTCTCTGATCATTCCTGAGAGTATTTCACTATTTTACCAGGAGTTTTCTGGTTTTTGATTTGTTTTATTGGGTTCGCTAATTCCATCAGATCATTGTCTGGTGTTTCTTCAGAGTTAACATTTTTATATTCTCTTGTTAGGGCACATTATTGTGGGTCAGTTAAGTTAGCCCCCCCATAGAAAATTTCTGGATGAAAATTATTCCATAATTTTGCTCTCATTTTGCTCCATTTTGCTCCACTAATTTCGATTTTTGCTCCATTACAGTGGAGAGACTATGTGGCCTATTAGGTGTGGGCTGAATTAACGCTAGCCCCCCCCAGTGAAAATTCAAAAATTTGATCATGCTCATTTTGTTCTTCGAATTTTGCTCCATTTTGCTCCACTATCGGCGAGTTTTGCTCCACTACCAGGAGAGACCTACAGAGCTCCCAAGAATCTCTCCCAGCCCCCCCCCCAGAGAAAATTCTGAAACTTGATCATGCTTATTTTGTTCTCCGAATTTTGCTCCACTATCGGCTAGTTTTGCTCCATTACCAGGAGAGACCTACAGAGCTCCCAAGAATCTCTCCCAGCCCCCCCCCCCCCAGTGAAAATTCTGAAACTTGATCATGCTCATTTTGTTCTCCGAATTTTGCTCCATTTTGCTCCACTATCGGCGAGTTTTGCTCCACTACCAGGAGAGACCTACAGAGCTCCCAAGAATCTCTCCCAGCCCCCCCCCCCCACAGTGAAAATTCTGAAACTTGATCATGCTCATTTTGTTCTCCGAATTTTGCTCCATTTTGCTCCACTATCGGCGAGTTTTGCTCCATTACCAGGAGAGACCTACAGAGCTCCTTAGTGTGAACATTTTGGAGTTTCTATGTGCGCATTTTGTTCTCCGAGTTTTGCTACATTTTGCTCCATGATCAGCGAGTTTTGCTCCATTACCTGGAATGACCTACGAGCTCCTAAGAATCTCTCCTAGCCCTCCCATACCAGTGAAAATTTTGTTTGATCATATTCATTCTGCTCTCCGAGTTTCGCTCTGTTTTGCTCCATCATCGGTGAGTTCTGCTTCATTACCTGAGCTGCTTTCGGGTGCCACGCTTTGAGCACTCAGGGACTCTGAAGCTACTCTCATTTTCCTCGCCTCTTTTTCCTGATGCATCTGTAACTGATTTTCAATGATGCATCTGTAACTGATTTTCAAGTATTTGAGTGCAAAGCGCATTGAGTATTATTTGTTGTCCTTGTCTAGTCAGCAGGCTATTAAGTATATCTCAATAGTTTTGATAGGTTCATAAAATCTGTCGCTAGGAGTCCTGTCGCATTGGCTTCCTCTCCCACTTCAGACGTCATCCGTCATGATCCGTGCTGTGGGCTTCAACAAAGGCGGAACACTCGTTCTCATGGAAACGCTGCTCCCCTGTTTCAAGAATAAGGACCCTAGAGGTCATTCCAGGTAATGGAGCAAAACTCGGAGAACAAAATGAGCATGATCAAATTTCTGAATTTTCACTGGGGGGGGGGGGGGGCTAGCGTTAATTCAGCCCCCCCACCTAATAGGCCACATAGTCTCTCCATTGTAATGGAGCAAAAATCGAAATTAGTGGAGCAAAATGAGAGAAAAATTATGGGATAATTTTCATCTACACCATTTCAACCTCAATTTCGGAAAAAGTAACTCTCATTTAGGAAAATGTAAAGTCATTTTCGGAAAAAGTCAAATCAATTTCAGATAAAGTAAAGTTAATTTCGGAAAAAGTAAATTCAAATTCGGAAAAAGTAAATTCAATTTCGGAAAAAGTAAATTCAAATTCGGAAAAACTACATTCAATTACGGAGAAACTAATGTTATTTTTGAGAATAATTCGAATTGATAAAAAGTAAATTTATCAATGACTATAAACTATATACCTCCGGTCGAACCCGTATACCGGGACGGATTCGATTCCAATCAGTGTACTTTAATTAGGTTCTACATATATTGGTTCTATATTATTTTGTAGGTCAGATGATGCTCATATGAGCGAAACACATGTCACTATTGAGAGAATAAAATAATAAACAATCTGTATGTAGACTTGGTAATTCTTTTCTTTCTTTTATTGTTCAAAAATCGGGTCTCTCTGAGAAATATGGACAAATTCTTTGATTTTCTGATAAGATAAATGACTCAATCAATTCAAATTACTATAAAAAATAACATCACTTTCTCCGTAATTGAATGTTTTTTTCCGAATTTGAATTCACTTTTTCCGAATTTGAATTTACCTTTTCCAAATTTGAATTTACTTTTTTAACTGACCCCATTATTGTAGAGTTATAGGAATGGTTCTAGGCTAGGAAACCTCAACCCCATTGAAGTTTTTTAGAACAAAATAATCATTCCATGAACGGTTTTGGAACCACTCTGTATACGAGTTCCGGATTCTACGCATAAATTTTGGACTTTGCGCAGAATCGTGACGGTACATTGTACGGTTTTCTGTTGTGTTTGAACAAAGTTTTCATTTTTCAAAATGTTCATCTATTAAAAATTTACCCAAAGTGGTTCGTTTTACAAATGAACACCCGGAATATTTTTTCTTACTGTAAAATTAAAATCAAACATCTGGTTGTCGACCCATTTTTTTTTTCATTTCATTTTTTCCATCGCTAAAATTAAAAGTCCGCAACAACTTGCTTTTTTTTATGCGTAGGCATACGCAAATTTAACTAAACGTCTAACGACTCGGTTTAATTAGTCCTATAAAGATTTCTAGATCAAGGACTCGCGAAAATTAAACGATATAATGCCGTAGTAGATAATTGTAATACAGGATTTTCAGTTGCTTTGTGATGCTACTTCTTTGGGCTTTTATTGATGTTGAATCTGTCATCAACTTCAGTTGGAAGTTTCTCAAGTCTGTTTTCACTCCAAAAGTTTTTTTTAAAGCTCATGATGCATTTTCAATCTAAATTCTTGAAGATTTTGTGCCGCAATTTTGTCATAAGGGCTTTTTTCTAGTCAGCTGTTTATGCAAATATTTGGATTTTTCCAAAAAATACTAAAAACATCTATTAAAATTTAAATTGGTGCCTGGTGTTAAACAGCCAGTATCAGTAGGTACTGACGTACTCGCGCCGCTCCTGATAAAAATTGCGTAAGCGATAAACCAATAAAAAAATTGGGCGGGAAAAAAGTCAACAATTTGTGCAGTTTTTATCAGGCTAGACGCGACGAAAATCGGTTTAAACAAAATCCGCGACTAATTAAGCCTTAAAAGCCGCAGCAAGTTCACGATCACTGGGTTAACGAACCTAATTCGACGATCAGAGGCGGACCAGATCGTTGAGATTTTTTAAATTTCACTAATAATTGTCTCATGTATCAATTATATTTTTGCAAAGACAAACATTACATACAACTCGTTGAAATCAGGGAAAATCTGCGTTAACTTCATAAAAAAAGTAAAAGCAATTACCTAGGTATTCCTACATCCAATTTATATTAAGACCTACATTTCTTAAAAAAAAAAATAATCTCAATAGTAATATTATTCGTGTGTCCTAAATACATAAAAAACCTCAAAAAAAAAGGTTACAGATCATCTAACGTGTTGAAACCCAAACCTCTTTTTGAAAAATAGTCTCAATTAATTTAATTAACTTTTATTCAAATTCCGGACTGCGCTAATGTTTCATAAGTCTATCAAATGATATGATGTAACACATGATAATTTATTTAAATCACTCGATGATAATACAAATACTGACGCACGTCTTTAACATTTTTGGAAAACTTAACAAGTTCACTTCAAGACGCATGTATAAGAAAATTTAATTAATACAGGGGTTTTCATTTCAATTTACCACTCACCTGGATGGCCTTATTACTGCTGCTAGTTGAAAACCGTAAAATACAAATGTTGCAAGCAAGGTATAAATTTGTAATATGTCCAGTAAAATAACACAGAACCTCTTTAACAACAATTTTTGTTATACACCCTGTACCTACCTTCCTCTAAATTTTTTGCAGTTTTTGATTTTGCTCCATTCCTTTTTGTCGGCGGTTAGTCTATTACATACATTTTCTATTTTTGCTTCACGTTTCGCATTCCTATTTACCCCATTACTCTACTGCTCACTTTTAATATTTCATGCAATGTTCGTTATAGGGTGAGTTTTATTTTTTATCAATTCTACTACAATTGAATTTAGTTTTTGATTTCTTTTGTTCCTTGCCAGAAGAATCCAACAACATTTTTGAATAAGTAAAATAATAATAAAAAAAAACTAAATAGGTACCACCTCGGGTACAAGGTAGGTACCTAATAAAACTACCAATTAATCTAGATATTATATAATAAATAATCGATTTATATTGAATAATTTATAAGTTATACAATATATCAAAGGATGCCGATAACAAAAAACAATCGGGGTAGAGAATTAATCGATTTATATACGTTAACACCTACCTAGGTATTTATACATCGCGTCAGAAATTTTCACTTTTATCTTTTAGTTGTTCTTAAGGCACCTGAAAACATATTAAGTATACAATTGAAACAAAATCCAGATTTCTTAAAATGTATTACTACTGATGAAATAAGACTGTTTGATTTTTCTAGGCTTGGAATTGGGACAAAAATTATTTTGTCTAATTTGTTATTTCTTTTTTGTTTCAGGAAGAATAAGATCTTCGTGAAGGACACACTCTGTATGGTAGCACGGTTGAGAGCCGATTTGTAGAAGAACTTGAGATCTACTCACGACCTGATGATGTTCATGAATTTAAGCGCTTTTGTTAGTATTTCGGAGTGTTTAAGGAAAATTAGGACTTGCGGAGTTGATAGTGTTTCAATTGATAGTTAGTTTTCGGTAAGGTACTTAGTTACCTCAGAACTTAGCCAGTGGTAGGTAAGTATCGAGCACTTGAATACTTTCAATTACATATATGACAGTTAGATAAATATTATTACCAGAGGCCCATTTTTGACATAATAGACCTTGAGATATAGGGACTGTTTAGTGGAGTCATTTTTTTTCCGAAAAGCAACAAACTTGAATAAAACCTTGAGAACAATTTTGCCAACACAATTTTTTCTCGAGTGGTATTCGTCATGACTATTTCACGTAAGATTTTGAAAATAAATAGAATGCAAAAATATGAATAAAAACTCCAAATTAAAAATACCAGTTTGACAATGTCAAAAAATGGTCACTGAAATACCATGTTGTTGGTATTGTCCAGGTAGCATTATTGTCAGGTGAATACCGAATTTATTGCCGGTGTAATACACTCTAGTGAAATAGTCAATAGTAATATAACTAGTGCAATGGAAATTATAAATATATTTCCATTGCACGAGTTGTATTTAATGAGAGAATTTCATAAATCAAAAATTTAAATTTTTTGTCAAAAAATGTCAAAACACCAGTTTTCGCACCAGTTAGTATGCAATTATCTGATAATTTGCACTAGTGCAAATTATCGCGTCATTACAATCTGATTGGTTCAAATCAACAATCAAAACATGTCAATTTATTGTTGGAATACCAGTTTTGACAGATGTATGAAATTCTCACAACAAAACCTTTCATTCTCTCGATTGCCAGACAGAAAGTAAATGCGGAAAGTTCTATACTTTTCTCTTGGAAGTTGACACCTATCCCTAATTTTCAGCCATTGAAAAGCATCTACTGGTATTTTTTATGGGTGAATTATTTATTAATGTCAATCTTTTATTTGAAAGCCAGACAATTTGAGATTATTAAAAAACAAATCTTCATGCAAATGATTATTTTTTTCTGCATATTTTCGAACGGGAGGCAGGCATTAAAATCACCCATATTCTCATCACCTAACCAGCCACATTCACCTTTCAAAATGCCAGACAAAAAAAAAATGTCTCCACTAAACAGTCCCTATCTCACGGTCTATAATATACATAATTCCTAAAAGTCCAAGAACTTTTTCATCATCCATCGTCAATTCTTCATCGTTCTCGAGCCTGCATCAATGAGGAATTTGCACATTTTTCTCTTATTGAATTTTTCACATTGTAAAAAGTCACTTGCCACATAAATTTTAAATTTTCAACTACCTAATAGTTTTTCTGTAAAAAAATATAGAAATTCAAAATAACTCTCTTCGCGCCAAAACGCACTCATAAATGAATGACGTCACAAGACGGTATCCGTCAAAACGAGTCTCTGTACTCCCTCTCTCTCTTACCCATTGTGTTTTGTCATTGGTTTATGCGATTATGTCGATCATTGTCATTTTCCATTCACTAAACAAAGATAGTGTTACGTTGATTTTGGAAATCAATTCTCTTCCAGTGAACTCATACCCTATATACATTAAGAGAGAGAAAGATATAGTGTAGTAATGATAGTAACAAATATACAGGGTGTCCCAAAAAGATACCGACAAACTTTAAGGGGTAGTAGGGGACATCAAAACAAGCATTTTTGTTTATATAAACATATGTCCGCAAATGAGCCATTTGGGCTGTAGAGCAAAAAAACTGTTTGGTATCTAGTTTTATTCTTCGCAATAATTAAATCACTGTTTACTTATTAATTTTCCTTTAATAGCAAATAAATTATGGTTTACAATAATTGTTCAACTCGCGAACTCTTTGGAATATTCCGGGAATAGCTTCTACATGGCTACAACTTGCCAGTTTCCTTGCTATCAGATCTTCCTCATAACGAACAGGTGTTTCGTAGACTAAACTTTTCAGTCAATGATCCGACGGTGTAATCTTTGCATTGAAGTAAATGGTCAACATTTTGAACAACTATTCTAAACCATAATTTATTTGATAATAAAGCAAAATTAATAAGTAAACAGTGATTTAATTATTGCGAAGAATAAAAGTATCAAACAGTTTTTTTGCTCTACAGCCCAAATGGCTCATTTGCGGACATATGTTTATATAAACAAAAATGCTTGCTTTAATGTCCCCTACTACCCCTTAAAGTTTGTCGGTATCTTTTTGGGACACCCTGTATATGGGTATCTTTGTTTAGTTAATGGAAAATGACAATGACCGACATAGAATGGTAAATCCACCGGTAGAATTCGATGTAAACACAAGCGTCTGACGGCTCACGTATCACGTTGACATAACCACACTTTGGTTTGTTTACCGTTCCATGACGTCATAACCAATTTGAGAGCGTTTTCGCGCCCTTTGTTGTATTCAATATTTGAATAATTAATTATTTATTAGTGGTTCAGTATAAAGAGGATTTGAATACGGAAATATACTTCTAGAGTATTTTGCTTCATTTTAAATACATTTTGCATCAAAATAAAATTTTATGCAACTTCCTCATTGCATCCATTTCGCTTCGTTGAGCTTTAGATCATCGTACCATGTTTTTCAAACCTATTGCCCTTGATATAGAGTTTGAGCCACTCAGAGAAGAATATTTTGATCCATGCATTGTCAGGAGATCGTAAATCACACACTATAAGTCACAAAAAATGGTATAAAATTGTAAAAGAAATAGACATTTGAGACCTATGTAGCAATATACAATGCATACAGATGGTGCTTCGTCAACTGAAATTCAAGTTTAACTTTTAGTTGCTGATGACATCTCCATTGAAATATTGATAAGCTAATAATACTCAATGGAAAATTTGAAATATTGTACAATTAAATAATGGGCTAAACATCTAGATTCTAGATGGTCTACGAAATAATGCAAGGATAATATAATGTTTTACCGAGTGTTTTACCATTCCAAGATATAGAAATGATTTGATGGAACTTTCGGCAGGTTTATAGTTAACTGACTGGATTTCTGTGGATATTCATGAAACTCCATAGATTTCCACAGATTTCTTTGGATTCTCACAGAAGACTTTGGATTTCTGCGGATTTTTGTGGATTTCGTGGATTTATCTAAAAATAATGGTGCACACATTTTGATCAGCTGTTTACTCCTCGTGTTAGAGGCACCGACCATGCCATCATATTTTTTGTATGATGACGTTGCAGCGACGTCCAAAGATTACTCTCATAATGTTGGGGATGGATGTCATACCAAGGGTGAGAAATTACCTGTAGAGTACTTAAATTTTCATTAGCGGATTACGATGACAAATCAACTTCGGTCTTCATGCCGCTCATATTTACTTGGTCGAAACATCGTCGTGTTGCGACTATAGCTGAACTCCATCCCTTACGATCCAGAGATGGCGTCGCGCAAGACTGCTTAAAGACAGTTTGTTCCATTAATTCACGCGTTGGAAAGAACACTTTTAGGAACTACTTGATAGAAATTAATGATGACAATTTCAACGGAATTCCACAGCAACCGATACAACAAGGACGTAGCGAGGTTCCCAGATTAGAGGAGGTTGAAAAGGCAATTAGACAACTAAAGAACAATGAGTCAGCTGGTACTGACGGCATTCCTGCTGAATTCTTTAAACAAGGAGGCCCCACACTAAATGCTCAAACCCTCATCCTAATAAGTAAAATATGAATATGTGAGACCACTGCCGAACTTAGAGATGTCTCCATAGTTGCTATTTTTTAAAAGGGAGACAAGGATCAATGTGGAAACTAAAGAGGAATATTTTTACTTCCTGTTGCAGGAAAGATACTTGCCAGGATGTTGTCAAATCGTCTAGTCCCAACTGCCAAACAAAACCTCCAAGAGACTTAGTGTGGCTTTGGACTCAACCGAGGTACAGTTGACATGATTTTCCGTGCAAGACAAATGCAAGAGAAATCCAGAGAAATAAATCGCCCTCTATATATGGCCTTCATAGATTTAGTGAAAGCATTTGATTCGGTTAACAGAGAAGCTCTTTAGAAGATATTGACAAAGGCTGGGTGGATGTGCGAAAAAGTACATCCAGATACTCGACCTGCTGCATGATAATATGAATGCAAAATGCAACCGTCAATGCAACGATAGACAAGGAGAGTCTTTTGCACCCACTTTATTCTCTCTATTTATAGGATCTTCACTCCACCTTGTCGAGGGTCATTTCCATTTCCGTCAGGGGTTCTCTGTACAGACTTGATGGCGATTTATTCAACCTAAACAGGTTAAAAGCCAAGACCATCGACGACATCGATAATTGAACTTCAATATGCGGATAATAATGTCGTGATGGCCAATACAGAGGAAAATCTCCAGGCAATTATCAATGCATTCAACCAGGCATACAGGAGAATCGGCCTAGAGGTCAACTTTAACAAGACGCAGATTCTGCACTAACCCGCACCGGATATTAATCCCCAAGCCCCAAATATAAATGACCAATCTTTGCAGAACGTAGAACTCTACCCATACCTTGGAAGCCATCTTTCAGCGAATGCAACTATTGACGCTGAAATCCAACATCGCTTGAAGAGTGTTAACGGTCCGTTCGGGCGACTTCTAGTGAGAGTCTTCAACAATCACGACATCAGCGCTGAGACCAAACTTCACGTCTAAACGGCAGTTGTAATACCAAAACTTACATAATGGCTGCGAAGCATGGACCACCTACAGAAGACACATAAAAAAAACCTAGAAAAATACCACCAGCACTGCCTAAGAAGGATCTTACTGATTAAATGGCAGGACCGACGAATGAAACAACTAGCATGGAAGCCCTTTTCATTAAGCACCAACTTCGCTGGACAAGTCACTTGGTCCTCATGTCCGAAGCACGTATTCCTCGATAAATTCTCCAGAGTCAACTGAAAGAGGAAAAACGAAACAATAACGCTACAAAGATATTCTTGAGGAAAATATGGCAACAATCAACGAAAATAAGAATAGAATAAGAAATAATCATACTCGGTATCGAGTGATCGCATCTATGATGATAAGTATGTACATTGAGAACCTTTTCAGCTTGGAGTTTCTCCCAAATTTACCATTTCTGCGGTAACAGT